TTGAGTTGATCGCCACCCTGTGAAAGTATAATCCATGATGAAATTCTTCTAGTTTGCAGGAAGGAAAAACGACCAACTTAATCTCACTTTGAAAAATCAGAGCTTTCGCTGTGATCTGGTACCACCATATTTCTAACAGATAGCTGGATTGCAACCGCGTAGCACAACATCTCTCGATGACTGACTATAGCTAGCAGGCATCTCAAAACGCGGCATTTACAGTCGAAACCCAAACCTGAAACGGCTGTGGAAACTCGACCAACTCACAGACAGCTGCAAACCTGATCATCTTAGTGATTGGCACGGAGCGTGCTGAGTCACTTTGGTACACTTGGTGAATTGCATCATCCTTCGCGAGTGTCAAGGTTGACCGAGTAGGATTGTCACAGCGCATGTGGAGTTGGACGGAACATGGAACATGGGGCTGGGGTGGGTTGTTGCACCTAGTCGCTGGAGACCATTTCCTTTTTTTGTTCATACTACTCGTGCCACGGCCCACTTTATTGGCACTCGTGGGACTGGCACTGTCAGATTTCACGATGCCCCACTTGAATTACTACCGGGGTTAGGTCAGTTATTGAGGTCAAAATTGATGATTGTATTCATTGATGCTTGTATCTTCTTTTGTGTTCTTGTCGGGCGGGGAGACTGGGGAGACTTTGGTCTCCCCCGCCAGGTTGCACCGCCACACGCCACTATTACTATAGCCGACTTTGCATTTTAGCGCCGTTTTAATTGCACACTCTCCCGCCAATCTATCAGGCACCATCTAAAGATGAGCCACCCCACCGATATAGTGCCAATAAAGTGGGGCGTAGCACGAGTAAAGGCCTTCGCCGAGGCCGCCATTTGGCCAATCAGACCTTTAAGATAACGCCAAATACTCCCTTTCGGGTAGTTTTGACAAAAACGGAAAGGTCCCCTGCCACTTGACACAACAGCAATCTACCCCGGTCCATATCCCGACTCCGACTCCAGAATGCGCTGTGACAAGTCACAAGTGACAATCCACTACTCAGACAACTCTAATCACTCAGGAAGGATGATGCAATTCACTAAGAGCAACAAAGCGACCCAGCACTTTCCGTGCTGACTAGTAAAACTAGCCGATTCAGGCTTAGGTTTCGACTCCAAGCCAGCGCTGCTAACAGTCCGAACATAGCGCATGACTTGCTACATAATGTCAGATTGTGGCGTTGCGGGTTGATACACCGCACTGTGCACAGACCGCACCTGATGGTTGGGTTGCAGCATTACAAAAGTCTATTAGTCTGGGAGGATTCCAGTCCTGAAGAATGAACTCAACGATAATCTTTTGAACATACAGTAGAATTCTCTCCGTGATACTGTAGTGCCATCGTGTTTCTGACAGATATCTGTCGCAAATTGCCCGCACATTTCGCAAAAGGCCCCAGACCAATTTCGGCACGCCTATCACGGGGAGAACCTAGGATACAGGTAGTAACGTAGTTGTGCCTTGAGGAGGGAAGAGGAAGCTATCTAGGGCTACAGCTATATACGGTGGGCAAACGGTCCGTGCCCTGTGGGTGCCTCAGGCAAGGTCGTGATGGTGCTGTGACAACGCCGCTTCATGCTGCTTCAGGAGAGGCATCATGGCCTGGGAAAATCGTTCGTCGTATTCGCCATCTTGTCCGGCACGATTCGCCTCGGTGATAAGGCTCCGGGCGATGCTGTGGTTGTGTGTGAATTGCCTCTCTCCGAACTGGCACATGAACTCGAGTCGGACCGTAGAGGTTGCCATGACGTACAGTAAGACTCTCAAATGCTTAGTAAATATGTGTTGAGAAAAATGAAGGCGTGATCAAATTCCCAACGTCTAGAAGGTAATTACTATCTAATCTTGCTCCCATCCACCCTTTTATCCCATCTTTCATATTCACGACCTGTCGTGCATCAGGGATAC